GGTTGGATAAAAACTCCTGGAGGTGGCACTTGAGCTCATGGTGGTGCTGGGCTGCTGCCTGGACTGAAGGATCTTGGAGAGCTTTTCCAGCCTGAGCATTCCCTGAGCCCATGGACACGTTTGCTCTTGTTGATGCTCAGGTTGTTTGTGCACTTGGCTTTGAGCTCCCAAACTTGGGCAGAGCTCGTGGTTGGTCTGTTGTGCCTTGCAGGTGGCTGGGGGAGGTCAGGCTGTGCCCCAGCTGTGCCCCAGCTGTGCTCCAGCTGTGCTCCAGTCCCATTCCCTGGGTTATTCCAGCCTGGGAATGCTGTGGGCACACCAAGGGCCACCCTCGGGTGGGTGAATTGCTGAGGGAAAACAATAAGTGCAAATTTGAGTCTCCTTTGTGTTTGATTTCCCTCCTTCTCCCCTTTCATTTGACTTTTATTTCCATTTTTGAGTGCTTCCAGGAATACACACAGAAATGGAACACTATCAGTAGCATTCCAAGGTGATCAGTCAAGCCAGACTTGGAGAAGTTTTATTGTGTTGCAAAATAATTTACTGAACTTTTGTGCTACAAATTACTTTCTAATCTTCCCATGGCATTCCTAGCTCCTTATTTCATTTTTCTACCAAGTCATACCACATCAGGGTTGGTTTGTTTTTTTTTTTGGAGGGGGTAAATTCAATGGAATTATTAGTTTCAGCTGCTCGAGTCTATTCTTGTGTGTGTCATTTACATCCCTCACAATTGTATGTACACTTAATTTTTTCCTCCTGTACTAACCATAGCTCTTCTCTCAGGTAGAGGGAGTAACAAAGCAGTGAATTTCTTTTGTTATATTTACTTTTGCTGCCAAATACTGGTAAATGCGATTGGGAAGCCACTTTCCAGATGGAAATAAGATGAAATTACTCCTTGGTTTCCCATGACAATGTAAGGATGTTTTTGTTCACTGTGTGTACAGACTTGGCAGAAATTGGAGACTTAGGCTCAGGTTAAGGTAGGCTAAAGTTCACCTAAATATCTGCTTTAGTTCAGTGTACACCTTTTTATCTCCCTTTAATTTTCATCCTCATCTTATTCATGACTGACAGTCTTTGCTGTTAATTCTTTATTAAAATCCTTCATTAATAATTTAAAGAAAGAAGAGAATTTCATATGAACTGGACATTTCATAATAAAATGCTTCAACAGCTTCAGTATCATTAAATATAATCATATATATTTCAAAAAACTAGTCATGGCCACTTCTAATGCTATTCAGTAGCTAAATTAATGAACAGGTGTAAAATGATAATTTTCAAGAATAATGTATATTTCTTATTTTTTTTTTTTACTACTGAAGTACAAAAGTACTTGTGGTAGAAATTTTTCCTAATTAAGTCTCTCAAGTATTTCAACCTGTTTGTGTATGTTCTTGGCCACCATTATCATTAGCCTTGCTTAATGTGTTTTAAACTCACATAACATGTTGTAAACCCTGGGTGGGTTTGCAGGGTTCCAGGCAGGGCTCTTGCAGTGGGATTAGAGGAGTTCCCAGCTGAAGGAATCACTGCAGGCCCAGCTGAGCTGCACATGCTCTGGGAAATGTCACATAAACAGCAAACAATGCCTTGCAGCATCTTGCATCAGCTTTTCCCCTCCAACACTGATAAACAAATGTATTATTGCTCACTTAAGAGAGCTCTAAATTAGAAGTAAGGGATGGAGTGTTGGTGTTTGCATCTGTGTTTTCTGGTGTGCTAAAGCTGGCACATGCCCTCCTCTGGCTTTGTCCTAGTGGCTCTCCTCCTCCCCTCTCCCTCTTCTGCCTCCTTGGAGGGAAATGATGCAGAAAAGCCCACCCAGGCCAGGTGCAGGTGGATGTGCAGTAGTGGCTGAGCAGTTTCACTGAGTGCTCCACACTGAGCTCACTCTCAGGGCTTTATTGCCTCAGCATTGGTCAGGCAGTGAGGAAGGTTCCCCTCTGCTACACCTTTTCTTTTAAACTCTGCCCATTTCTGCATGCAAAGCTGGCTATGGCAGCCACCAGCTCGCAGTGCTGTCTGTAAGACCTGTTGGTTTGGAAAAAAAGCTGATTTTGAATGAAGATGTAAGGCAGTACCATTATCAAAGTGCTGTAATGAATAATCACAGCACTGAACTCCAAGGTCTGTATGAAGTAATACAGCTGCTTTAGCTTCCAGATTGATTTTTCATCTTGCTTTTCTGAGCTGCCCTGTGCTGTCTGCTATAAAATCCTTCTTTCATCTCTCCCTTTGGTTCTGTGGCATCAAACCAAAAAGTGTTTTATCTTTAAACAGGCACTTGTGAAAGGAGAACCTGACGAGGGGAGGGAGGTTGGTCAGCAATGGTGTATTGAATTCTGGAAAGTATCAAGTATCTTTTTAATTGAGTTAATTATTTTTCAAACTCCATAATCCGTGGTTGTGTTACAGTTGAATCAGTGCTGGAATGGATTTTGTGATCAGAGCCTGTGGCAGAAGAGGGATGAGCATGGCTTTGGAGAGCTCCCTGATGCTCCATGGCATCTGCAGCTCAGCTGAAACGGTGCTGGAGAGATTCGAGGAGCTCCCAATCCAGAATTGTTGTGGTGTCTCTGTGAATTTGGGCTTGCTGAGATTGCTGTTGATGCTGTATTGGGGCTGTAGTCACATCATCATCTGGTTCCAGTGTTTTCTCTGGTTTTTGTCAACTGGCATCAAATGAACTTTGAAGTTACATGTGTGGAAAGTGAGAACTTTTTGGAAAGAACATATTCTCTGGCTTTTTTCAAGTAGAAAAACTTTAACCCACACATGAGTGTTTGTTAAATGGATGATACAAGCAGTGGTGTTGCAGCCCTTCAGGCTTGAGCAGGTCAGAGTGGTTTGTTATGAAACTTTGGGATGTGTGATCTGCTGTGGTGTAAATGCAGTTCCTGATTTTATAACCAACAGAGGAGTGCACCTGCACACAGGTGAGGAGGGTGATAAGGGAAGCTGGCTCTGTGCCCTGCACAGGCAGAGTTCCTGTTGTGACTTCTGCCTCACTGCCCCCCTGCATGTCCGTTTATAAAGTGTTATGTGCCTCAACCCCAAACCACTTTATTTTTTTGGTGCTGTAGCAGCTGAATAACTTCATACCCGTTTGGTATCGGGCTGGGGTGGCACCTTTGCCCTTGAACTCTTGCTCACAGAGGAGTTTGCTGCTTGCTCTTTGTGATTAACAGCAATCACCCCTGGAGGAAAAAAGTTTCTGTGAAGTGATATTTGGTAACAAAAACATTTATTACAACTGTTTTCTTTTCAACTCTTACTCCTGCACTTTGCAAGCCAAGGAGCTGGCTGTGTGTGTTTCATGCAGGTTTGGTCTTTGCTCCCCAAATAAAGTGACAAATCTGTGTGTGGTGTTGAGGGCTTTGAAACCTCCATCCGTGGAGGTCTGGAGGGTTGAATTCCTGAGCAGATCCAGTTGGCAGTGGGTCACTCGTGTCCCTGGGTCCCTGTGGCAGTGGGTCACTCGTGTCCCTGGGTCACTCGTGTCCCTGGGTCCCTGTGTCCCTGGGTCCCTGTGCTCAGCTGTGTCTGTGATGGAACAGAATTCCTCACTCCCCATGGGACAGCTCAGCTTTAACTCTTGGCTGTTTTTTTTTTTTTCTCCTTTGTGTTGTTGAGCACCCGTTGTTATTTCCTTGTTTAATTGAGAACAATTAGTGCTAAGGGCCTGATTAATGGGTGAAATGTCACTTTAGGATTCTAGAGCTGAGGGGTCAGTGCTGGGGGAGTTTTCTGGTGATGTGCAGGGCAAGGGAGAGCAGGGTTCTTTTGTTGTTTAATCATCTTTTCTGTTCGGTTTTCTCTGATTTGGGCCTTTCAGAGGTTGCTGGGGCTGAGGCACTGCCTGGGGCTGCCTCAGTTAGTGCTGGCATGGACATGCCCAAGAGAAATTTGATTATTCAGGGCTCTAAACCCAGCAGAATTTCCTTTATGCCAAATGTTTTCCTGGTGGAAATGGGTGCAAGGAGACAAATTTTTATATTTTACATACTTTTATTTTTTTAATGAAGAAATTGAAACTGAGATTTTACAATATTCTTCACACTAAAAATTAACATTTTTTTCCTTAGGAAATACCTGTAATGAAACCCATTGTGGCTCATTACAGTGAAACAAAAAAATAGTGCTCAGAGAACAAAACTCTATTCAGTCTGCTTGAAACTTCATCTTAATTTGACTTTCCAGTTTTTCAGTTACTTTTGAATGACTTAAAATATTCATTAAGTTCAATTAATGTTAAGCACATTAAGATTCTATTCCTTCAGTGCCAAATATGTTATGTGATATTTAAAAGGAAATAAATCCTTGTTAATGGGTTTATTTAATGCTTAAGAAAATTCTGTGAAAATTGACTGTTTTAAATTATGCAAAAAATCAGCTTATATTTTTAGGTACTCCAATGCCACATTTATTTCCATATAATTTAAAGTGCTGATTATAAGGCTAGTGAGTCTTGCTAATTTAAAAGAAATCACTTAAAAATATACACTGTTTTCTTAGTTTTGCTCTCTACCACTGACAACATACATTAATAAAAATTAATGAAAAACATACCTTTGTTCAGTGTGATAAATATCAAATGATTTATGTTGTTGGTTTTGGATGAAGAATTCCTAAATATTATTCATGTTTCAATAGAGGGCACTCATGTACTTTGAGGTAACACCAAATCCCTGTATTTTTAAAAATGCTTGCCATGAATTGGAGCTGAAGTGAAATTTCCTGGGTTAAAATACATAAATATTATTTGCTACTGCTTGGGAAAATTGTTCCTTGTCATATTTTTATTTCTTGTTCCTTTCAGTTTTGGACATTTGCTTTGTTTGGATATTTTACAGTAGGTTGGGGCAGTGCAGTCACTTTGCCTTGAACTGATTGGAAAAGATTTATTATTGTGGCTTGCTAATGGACTTGCTGTTAGCTAAGATTGAACAGTTGTTATAATGAATAGAATTTAATAAATACCTACTTTCCAGCCAAAAAGCCTGTAGAAGAATCAGAAGAAAAGAAAGCAGCTCAGTCCAAGAAGAAGATCAAAGAATTAAGAGTTTTGGATGGAAAATCTGCACAAAATTTATGTAAGTGATGCAAAGGGCATTAGGTCACTAATTAGCATCTCCACCTCACTGTTTGGGAATTGTTATTTTGGTTCACATGTGCAATGGATTTTGCTAAAAACTGCTAATTTGAACACAGTCTTAAATTCAGAGGTGTTTAAATCACTTTCTGAATTCACTGTATAACTTGGGAAAAATGACAAAAAGTAACATGGAAAAATGATTTAATGGGCAATAGTGTGCCTAGCTTGCCTTTGTTTATATGGGGGACTTGAGTGTGAAACACAATTTAGATGGAGATTTGATTTTATTAATTGCTAGAAATGGTTTGCCTTTGTATATTGATCTTTTTTGACCTTTGTGATTCTGATGATGTATCACTGAATTTCAGCAATATTTTTGGGTTCCTTCCGTTTGCCTTATGAAGAAATAAAAAATATCATTTTAGAGGTGGATGAGGAGAAGCTGAGTGAATCCTTGATTCAGGTATGTGAAAACACCTCTGCTTTTGCTTATAGCTCATTTTTTCCCAGAAAAATGCAGGAAGGAGAAAGAATTCAAGAGTAACACAGGGTATCAGCTGCAGGGTATCAGTTGTGTTTGATTATTTTTATTTCTGCTTTGAATGTGGTCACATGTAACCCTAAAACTGCCTTCCAAAGGCACTGGTAACAACACAATTCCTTGGAATCCCCCATTCCAAAAGGAAATCTTGGAGAATTCTGATGTTTCAGCTTTGAAAACAAGCTGGAGATGGTTCAGGCTGGTGCATAATGAAATTTCAGGAGGTTTCTTATGGAAGCAGCTCTCACTGGAGAGGCAGAGCTGGTGCAGAGATGAAATTCCTGCTTCCAGTGTTTCAGGACACTGCTGCCACTCCAAACCTTGGAAATCAAACCTGCTTGGTCTCCTCTGGAGCCCCAAATGTCTGAGCAGGAAGGCTGGGATGGGCTCAGCTCCTTTGCATCCCTCCAGGAGGGACAAGTGTGCTCATGGCCCTGAGGTGTGACAGTCCAGGAGCTTGGAAACCCAAAAATCACCCAGATTTAACAACCCCAGCACTGCTAATTTATGGTGTTGTTTTATTTCACATCATGCACTGATTCAGGTTCCTGCCACCACACCTCAGTTTGTCCTTTCATCCTTCCCTGCCTCCTGTTTGCACCTTTGTCCCCTTCCCCCAAGGTTTTCTAAATTAATTTCTTCTTCCTTTTTTGCACCTGCAGAATGGTTATTCTGGGGACTCTGGTCTAAACTGAGTTGCCTCAGTGTTTGAAAATAAAAGCAAAGTCCTAATTTTATTGAGGACTTGGTTTATTGATCAGAGATGTCAGATCAGATAATTTAGAAACCTTCAGGTTTCATAAAATCAAAAATCAAGGGAGAGGAACAACCCCAGCTCAGATAGCTCAAGTGCAGAGTAGCTTCATATTGATTTGCTCTACTACAAATGCATTTATTGTTTAGATTTCAACTTATTTACATGTGAAAATATTATATATTAAATGCAAGCTACACTTCTAAAAATGCAATATTTAATGCATTATTTAAAAAAACACATTAAATGCAAATCTACCTTTTTACTGAGTATTTCTTAAAACAAACTGTTATTCAGTCTTAATATCAATATTTTAAATACTTATGAGATTTATGAACCAGTATTTTTATTTTGACACCTCAAGATCATACAATAACTCACAATTTTCTCTGGGATAAGACTGCAAGCAAATTAAACTTTTTCCTGACCTCCTGTATATTTGCCATCCAAAAATCTGTACAATTTTGGGATGTTGAGGGTGGTTTTTTTTTTTTGTCAGGTATTTTTAAGTGTACTTTGTGCACAGATAATTTGAATGTCTAATGGTTGTCATTTTTCTTTTTTGCTCCTTTTGTCATATTTTACACAGACCAGTTATTTCTTGATTGATATTTAACGAGCATGATGCAACCTTTAGGGCAAAAGGAGATTGTAGAGAGACAAAACTCCTTGGTGCTGTCACACCCTGAAAAATGATACTCTAACCTTTTAATACATTCTTCAAATCAGAGACTGGAGCAGAGCAGTTGATGTCTGTATTAAATAATTACTGCTTTGATTTGTTGATATAACGTTAAATAAAATAAGCGTCCCGTAATTTCCTCCTGCATTTCCATGTTGTGCTATTTTAAGTGATTTTTTTTTTTTTTTTTTTTTAATATCTTAGGTAGTTGAATGTAACAAATTTGATCTAATGCCTTGTTTGTTTTAGAACCTGGTGAAGAATCTTCCTGAGCAGAAAGAACTCAATGCCTTAGCTGAATTAAAGGATGAATACAATGATCTCGCTGAGCCAGAGCAATTTGGAGTTGTGGTATGTATTAATGCAAGGATTAACTGCACAGTTCCATTTTGGCACATAAAGAGAAACAAATTGAGGGATAAAATCTTTTTTTTTTTTTTTTTTTTTAATAAGTTCTGCGGTAGGAAAAAAATAAATAACAATAAAATTAAAAAAAAAAAAAATCTCTTTAATATGTATTAATAAGGTTCCAGCCAGGGGTGGACCCAGGTGATCCTTAGGGTGCTTTGCAGTGTGAACCCCGTGATTCTGGGTGTGTTTCTGGGTGAAATTACAGTACAGCATTAAAAGCAACAGGCACTCCTGTGCCACACCCCATTTTTTGTCTTTCTGTCTTGCCCTGAATATTTATTGAACAGTTCTGAAGAACCCTCTGCCTTCAAGCAGATCAATCTCCAAAAATCCATGGATACCCCACGGCATTGAAAGCTCTGATAAATTTGTTTTTTGAACAGCTGAAAGAGTTAATATGTCCATATCCATATTTTCTATGCATACACAGATAAAAATCTGTATTTTTACACACACAGAGCAGCAGGCTGCCTTGGGGAGAGGGGTGAATTTACACTGGAAATGGAAGTGGAGCTTGTCCTGCTCCTTGCAGGGCTCAGTTTTGGGATGGCTGGGGCCTCTCCTGGCAGGAAATTCCAGAATTTACAGAAATTTTTTCATCCATTCTGCTGGGTGGGACACTGAGTTCTGTGCCAGCCCTTGGACATCCATTGAGCTCCTGGGCTCCCAAAGGCCTGGGGGGTCTTTAGGAAAAGGAGCTCCTGTTTTCCCTTGCCTTGCTCAGCGTTTATCAAAACTGCACACGGGCTGCCTTTGCTCCTGCTGCATTTCTGACCCTTTAAAATCCATTCAAACACAAACTGAGGCCTCTGAAAAGACTTTTTTTAACCAAAAAGTTCTGATTTGAGCATCATTGGGCTTCAGAAGTGCCTTTTGAGTGTTTTTTTTTTAATATTACTTTTTGGTTGGGGAAGTAACAGAATATGATTTGTCCAAATGAGATTTTTGGAGAGGATTTAGAAAATGAAAGATGGTCAGTGGCTTCTTTTGAAAAACTTTAGCCTGTTGATTTCCAGATTTTTAATAAAAGGTGTAAAATCCCAAAAATCTTTCCTTTCCAAACAAAGATGAGGAATTTTGGTACAAGTGGGATACATTGTTAGCCTTACTGCAAGAAGTTGCCATTTATTGATCAGTCACAATCTAAAAATCTCTATAAATGCACATTTGCTGCTTTTATTTGAAGCAATAATAGCATGCATAGAATATAAATATATCAATGTGCTGTGTGTTTAGATAGCTCAAAACTTATCTGTAAGTTTTATCTATGGATATATTATGGGTATATAGAGATATTGTGATTTTTATATTATATATATTTTAAAATAATAATAGAAATGTAATTAATTCTTAAAATAGTCCATGTATAATAATATTACATAATTAACATATTATGTAATATGTTAATATAATTATGTATTTTAATTATCATATATAATATATTTATAATTAATTAGGTAATGTATTATTAATATAATTATGTATTATAAATATTATATATTATATGTAGCATACTTAACATGTAATATATAGTATATAATATATATTATGTATGACATATATAATATGTATTATATATTACATATTACATATTGTTTATTATATATTATAATTAGGTAATATATTAATAATATAATTGATGATATTAATATTATTATTTTATAATAACATCATAATTTGATATTTCATTATAGTATTATATATTATTTTCTATATACACCTATTTCTGGCTATTCCCCCTACCTAGCTATTATCCCAAAGTGAGAAATCCTTTGGGTTTTGTGCAGGGAGAAAATCTGGAGTGTGTTGAAGGGAAAAGCACAATGGGAGCAGGCAGGGTGGAGGGATTAGGATAAAGGAAGCCTCTGATATTTGGGAATTCTGTTCAGTTTCCTGCAGAAAATCAGCAAAGAAATTGGGAATATTGTGCCCCATGGCCTTGGTTTGAGGGGCTCTGGAGGAATTTCTCCTTTTGGCTGCTGGAAATTCTGTAGAGCTTCACCCTGGTCCTGACTGGGATCATTTCCTGCCCTGCTCCCTCCTTTTACATTAAAAAAATAAAGAATTAATTTTAGATTTAAAAAGAGAATTTTACAATTCCCTTTCACAGACATCCCCCAGCTGCTGTTTCTGGCCTGGGCTGCTCTCCCTGCCTGGGGCTCGTGGATTCCCCATTTTTGGGGTTCCTGCTCTTCCAAGGCTGGGCTTTGCCTTTTCCTTTCTGAAAATCCAGGGGAGTTTTCCCTGATTGCCCAGCCTGGCCACGGTCACTGTCCCAGGGATTTATGTTTCTCAGGAAACACTGACTAGACAAAGTCGAGAGAGTTTCCAAGTATTTAATGCAACATTAATTAGCAAAAACTGCTTAATCAAACATTTCCAAATGGTGCTGTTTGCCTCATGAAGGAACCAAGTTTCCTGGAGCTTGTTTGCTTATTCAGCTTTACCATCTGCTTTATTAAAAACCAGCACTTTGCCTTCCAGCTCCTGCTTCTGTCTTATTTCCAGAGGCCTTTAATTGCATTATTGGTGCTCAAATGTTGGGTTGGTTTCTCATTTTGATATCACTGAACTCTCCATTAAAGTGGAAGAAATGCAGCTGAACTTCAAGTCTTGACTAAAGTTCTTTTTTCCAATGTGTCAAATTAATTTTGGAGATTCTCATAATAATAACCTTAACTTTGACTTTAGGAATAGCACACAGGCTAAATATTATTTAAAGTGTATCCTCTTATTTTTATGTAAGTTTAGGTGTGTTAATTATTAAGATATGTTAATTGGATAATCACTTTACCCATCAAATTTAATAAAGGTTGGAATAAGTTGCTTAAAATTTGTGTAGAAAAGCCACACTTAGCAAATGATTAACTTAATATTCAGCTGATATGTAAATGAAAATTAGAACTGCATTTTCATTTAGATGAAATGTTAAAATCAATTATATATTGTAATTAATTATTGGAACTTTTTGAAGTTATATCCTGGGATCAAAAAAGGCAACACAACTTCTTACATATATATATATATAAAAAAAAGTTTGCATTGATGTTGAAGTAGAGCAAGAAAAAGATGAACTGAATCAGCTTTGTGACATTGACTCAGCTGGGCACAGTCTTATCTCAATTCTACTTGTAGACCTTGTGTTCAAAAGTTCATTTTTTTTTATGCTGTGGGAACAGCTGCAACTTCAGAGAAGAATTGCATTTCCACTTCAGTGCCAGTTGAAGATTTTTACTATTACAAAAGCATAAATGTGACTGAAGAGTTGGATAAACTTGAATATTCTGTGTCCCTTTTGTCCTGTGTCACCAGGTCAGCTGTCATGAGCAGTCCTGGCTGGGGGGAGCTGCTCACATTTATTGCACTTGCATTGCTTTAGAGTCATTCACTCTTTTAAATTGAATTTATTGGCTGCTTGTTTGGCCTCATTGTAATTTTGTGAGCTGCTGCAGAATTAATCTTCCTAGAACGTTTCCAGGGGAAAAAAAGGCAATTTTAATATAGCACAGGTAAGAGGCTAAGTTGTCCTAGTAAGTTGACAAATTTTTATTAGAGGAATGTCAGCTTTTTCTTAGGAAGTGAGGCAAATTTAATTGTGCTTTTTGCCTTTCTCCAATAGCCTTTGATCCTCATTTTAATACAGGGCTTGAGAATTGAATGATGCTAATAAAGCATAAAGAACTGAATAAAGAACTTGATTAGGTGGAGAGTTCACACAAGACCTTTATGAGAGCCCAGAAGGGGAAATAATGCCATGGAGCCCAGCACTGACAGTCAGCTGGAAAAGAAAAAAATCTCCATTTTCTTGTCCCTGTCACTGCTTGCAGTGCAAGTCAGTGCTTGCTGCTGCATGCACCTGTTTGAATGTTTTATTTATTTGACACTAATTTTATTTAGAGCCATAAAGAATTTGAGCTTTCCAAGTGAGTGTGAGCTTTGCTCCTTACGTAATTCTAGGAGATGGCTCAAAATTCAGGATGTGATCACTCTCTCTCTGGGTTTAGAAACAGACCCACAAAAGGGGAAAGCAGGGTAGGGTGGGGCAGGAGGAACTAAAATTGCATTTATGGCCATCTTCTACTGATAAAAAGGGCATTATGTGCATAAAAATGTTCTGGGTTTTAAGGAAACAACCCACACGAAGCAGCTCTTAGGAAATTCTCAAGACAGTTTTAAAATATTATGTAGGTCAGGGAATGAAATTCAAACTTCTTGCTGGGTTGGTGGTCCAAAGCTAAGAAATGATCAGTGTTCACTGAAAGAAGAAAGGACACTGCTCTGGAGCTCAAGGATTATTGTTCACAGATGTTTGTGTCACACTCTCCTGTGAGCCTGTACATGTTTTCTTGCACTCTGGTTTTGGGATCTAAAGCTTTCAACGACTTTCTTCTGTGCCATTTTAAGTAAAAACAGCAATTGGAGATTGTTCTACAAAAGTTAAAGCAAATTATGTGATTAATTTTAATTTCCATCTACTGCAGATTAGTGTAAGTAGATCCTTTCAAGGCAGATGTTTTCAGTATGATATTTCTGAAATACAGAATGATTAGAGGAATAATGTTTCAAGACTTTCAATGATTTTGGCTTATAGAGACTCAGAGAGAAATTTGTGACAATGGAGACTTATAAAAAAAGATCACTAGTTGTGCTGAAATGCTTCTTTTCTGATCCTTTCCTCTTCCTTGTTCCAGCCTGATCATAGGAATTGTTTGAGACCATCTGGAGTGCCTTCGTGTTTGTGTTGATTTTAGAATGAATTCATTATTATTCAGGCCACTCAAGTCCTTCCTGGGAAAGTTATTGCTGCTGCTTCTGGTAGCTGTTGGGACATAACACCAGCAGAAAAATTGTGGTTCCTCAAAGGACCATGGTCAAGTTTTGGCCAGCAGAGACAGGAGCACATCAAAATCTTCCTGTTTTGATAGTCAAGATGTGTGATTTGTCACGTAGCAAAGCTTTTCTCACTCAGTGCTTCAGGAACATCACTGATGCTGAATACACTGGGGAAGAAATCTTTTTTATTCTGCTAAGTAAAATGAGATAGATTTGGAACATAATCATTCTTGCAATTAAATTAAAAATTTTCAAGTGGTTTAAAAATGCTCAGTACATCTTTTTTTCCTAATTTAAATTTCTCCTGTGAATTACGGTGTGCTAAGTGGGAGGAAATAACTCTGATCACTTGTGCAAAATACAAAAGACATGGCCATATTTTGTTACCTAGCCTAGTGAATTTGGTCCTGGGGATTTAAATTAATGAATCAGCATTGTAAATTATTTTCAGTAGCTCTGTTACAATGTCAGGATTTATAACCTCCCATCTTTTTATCAGAGCAGGAAGGAATCAGTCCTGGGCTCCCTTCTGCCAAGTGTGTGAAACACGAAGGTGGAAGGATCCTGGAAATGCAGGAGAGGCAATGAAATGCAGGAGCTGTAGGATTGCTGTGTGCACAACATCAGGGTTATCAATCCAAGCTTTTCTCATAAATCACCATTTGATTTTTTTATGTTTTGCTGTGGTCACCTTTTTATCAGGGCAGGAAGGGTTCCCTTCTGCCAAGTGTCTGAAACACCAAGGTGGAAGGATCCTGGGATGGCTGGAAATGCAAGAGAGGCAATGATCTGCACAGCATCAGGGTTGTCAATCCAAGCTTTTCTCATGGATAACCATTTGGTTTTTTTATGTTTTGCTGTGGTCACCTTTTTATCAGAGCAGGAAGGAATCAGTCCTGGGCTCCCTTCTGCCAAGTGTGTGAAACACCGAGGTGGAAGGATCCTGGAAATGCAGGAGAGGCAGTGAAATGCAGGAGCTGTAGGATTGCTGTGTGCACAGCATCAGGGTTGTCAATCCAAGCTTTTCTCATGGATAACCATTTGATTTTTTTCTGTTCTGCTGTGGTTTGTGGTGCAGATGAGCTCGGTGAAGATGCTGCGGGCGCGGCTCAATGGGATCCTGTTCCGGCTCATGTTCGAGGAGCACGTGAACAACATCAAACCCGACATCATGGCAGTGACCCTGGCCTGTGAGGAGCTCAAGAAGAGTGAGAGCTTCAGCAAACTCCTGGAGCTGGTGCTCTTCCTGGGCAACTACATGAACTCTGGCTCCAGAAACGCCCAATCTCTCGGCTTCAACATCAGCTTCCTCTGCAAGGTGAGAGCTGTGACACACCCAAGGGTCCCAAGCAGGGAAAAGCAGAATCCTGTCCTGCCTGCACCTCTGGGTGTGACAATGGGCAGGGAAATGAGGGAGAATTCCCAACATTCCCTGGCTAATTCCAAGTTCTCTTTCTTTTTTTTTTGTTCCTAAGGAAGGTATTTCAGCCTTCGTGCTTGCCTGGCAGAATTTGGGAGCCTTTATTTTTGCTTTCTGTCATAGTAACTTCTGTTTTACACCACTGACTCATTTAGTGGACTTCCTGCCCATGATAAGAGTTTTATAATTTTTTTTTTGAGTCAGCTATCAGCAAGGTGGAACATTTTTGGCTGGAACCTGTCTGGGTGCACATTTTTGGCTGGAACCTGTCTGGGTGCACATTTTTGGCTGGAACAAGTCTGTGTAGATATTTCCATGTGCAGAGCACTTGCATTTCATGATGAGGAATCCTAATGTGATGAATTCACTTCTCAATAAGACCAGAGTTTTGTTTTGACTTTTTTTTTTCCGCTTATTTCTTGAACAATCTTAAAATTAATTGTCTGTTTACTGGATGCAGTACTTACATTATACAGCCTAAAAAAAAAAGGGAAGAAAAAACGCAAATATTGATCTGGGATAAATGTTTGGTTTTGGAAAAGAAATGTTTTTACAACAGAGCTGGTCATTTTGTACACAGAGATCTGGTTTTGTTACAACTTTTATTAAAACATGATAAAGAAAATAAAAGAAAGCACAGCTCCAGTCTGGACTGAGCTAGAAGGCTAATGACTGAATAGTAATTGCAAATCCTTAAAAACAGATTATCTCTCTGGATGTTATATTGCAGTGTATGATGTTATTGAAGATAGAAATGCTTTGTAAACAACCTTTGGCAGAAGGCAGAGAACTTAATTTTGTTCAAATGAGAGGCATCAACATCAGAATTCCTGGGATGTATCGAGATTGGCAAGCCAGAGCAGCTCTTGCTGTGCCTGCAGCAGAGCATCTCCATTGCCTGAGCATGGAATGTTCTGTAAAAATAGAAATATGGCAGGAAAAGTGCTCAGGCTGAGGGAGACAACTCTAGTCATTCACTAAAGGGGAAATTTGCTGTGGTTGTTTAATATGGCCAAAGGGTCCAGCTGCTTTTTGAGCCCCCTCAGGAGCTCCAAAATTCTGCTTGGTGGCAATGGAACTGAAAGGCCAGAGGTTTGTTTTAGGGACGTGCAGGTCCAGCTGCTGGTCCTGTGGTGCTGAATTCAAGTGAAAAACCAACAACTGAGTTTGAGTAAAGCTTTTGCAGCGTTCTGGCTGGATCAATGTGTGTTTATGTGTTAAGTGCTGCTCTGTTACTTTTTGTTCCTAGTGCAAATAGAACAAGACAAGCTGTTTATCCAGTCTGAGTATTACTGATGAGGGGACATTTATTGTCCAGCAGCCCTCGTTCTGGGAAGGGGGGGACAGATTTCTAGGCTAAGAGAAGGTCTATAATCTCATAAAAATCAATAGAGAGCCTTTTTATAGCTGTAATAAAGTGTCACTGCAGTGATGGCTCGTACATGAATTTTTCCTTGCTTTGCCTGTCACCTTTACCCCTCCCACCTGAGAGCTGCATCCAGAAGAACCCGGGAAAGCCCAGCCCCATGCTGGCAATGGTGGCTCCTGGTGAGATGGGATGGGTTAAATGCTTTACTCTCTGAAAAAGGGAGAGTTTTGTTCTGGTGGTGGTTTTGTGGCTCACAGAAGGAAACATCTGCCTCTGTGTCTCCCTTGATTTGAGTCGTGCTGTGCTGTGCTCTGTGGACCTTGGCCTTGAATCCTTTCCCAAGTTCTGCATCTCGTGGTGTTGACCCTCAAATTGATGCTTCAGCATTCAGCTGGAGCTGCTTTCTGCAGCCCATGCTGACCTACCAATTTATTTCATTTATTTTTAACCTGAATGTGTTATTCCCAAATTCTCTCTCTTGGGCAAAGAAAGGCCATAGACTCAAAACCTGTATTTTAAAATTTGAACACCACAGTGTTAAAAATTTATCCTGAGTCATAGAATGATAGAATATCCTGAGTTAGAGGGGACCCAGGAGGTTCATCCAAGTCCAGCTCCTGGTCTTGTAAGCACAACTTAATGGGCTCTTTTAGCTTTTCATCCACTTGGCTGGAGTGTGTAGAGCAGCAGAAATCAGGCTGAGCCATTAAGTTCTTTACAAGCCAAGGAATGTTATATCTGTTGGGCAAAATTACTGCAAGTAAAAAGCTGAATATAAACAGTATTGCATTTATATGCAAAAAAAAAATTAAAATAATGTGTGAGTTATTGAAATGAGTGTATATTGAATATGAGTATAGGGTGTGAATGCACACAGCCATGCTGGCACCTGTCCAGGTGCTACCTTTCATTTCTATTTTTATGTTTAAATAATATGTGCTAAACTGCACTCAAACAGCACCTGTCTTATTTTTCATGATCAGAGTAGGCTTAGGACTTGAGTTTTAAAGTACAGATGCTGCTTCTAAATAGCAAGCAGATTTATCTATAACCATTGTGTTAAAAATAAAGATGAATATAGCAGAGACTTGTTTCTGATTGGGCCAAAGAAATGAATTTGATCCATTTGTTCAAGATCTAAATAAGTGTTTATTGTGAGGTGCTAATACTGACTCTGGTTATGATGTTGCTCTTGGTGGCAAAACATGTTCATGTTGTAATTTGAAAACAAAATAATTTTGTCCATTTAGAAAAAAAAAGTGCTTTATCCACTCGATGATGTCAGAGAGATCAAAGACTGCAAATCCCACTACTGTTGTTCACAGACAAATTGAAATGCAATTTCTTTTTTCCATGCAGATGTTTAGCCAGTAAATCTACAGTTTTTTTTGTTTTTTTTCAAGTCAGAAGAACTTCTGTGTATGTAACACATTAAAGCCCTTTAACTGTGTACCATTACTGAGCATTGTTTAGTCTTTAATCGCTGAATTGGTATGAATTAAATTGCTTTCTTAATTGCCTAAATACCTTATATTTTTAAAAGCTTGTTTTTTCCACTGCACTCATTTATTCCTAACAGGGTAATCCTTAAAGCTGAAAGGCCTCTATTAAATTGAACATCGATGGCAAGCCTGTCATGAGGATTATAGAATTAGAACTTCAAGTGATTTAGAGAATGAGAAAACAAATAGGAGATTTTGCACACGCATTTATGTATTCTTCTTAAATAAATCCTTTATTTCATTTGTTGTCTATGTTGTAGCTTACTTCTGGGTAAGAACTGTACTAGATGAGAAAAATGCTATTAAAACAATTCTTTCCAGATGCATTACTAATTCTCTGTCAAGTCAAGTGTGCTCCTCTCCAACTCTTACATGCACCTACTGTGTGTGTTGCCTTTGTGAATAAGAGGAAATCTCAGCCTGTGCTTGATCTCCCATCAGCTCACACATCCCTTTCCACATCTGCACAAAAATGGGCAAACTCAGACATTTGTTCTCTCATTCTCTTAATTTCGTGATGCTCCTTTGTCTACACTTGTGCACCCTGCCCTGGGATTCAGCCATAAGGTTTTAAGGAAATATGTCACTGGTCCTGGATTCTAACAATTAGCTCAGATTTTTATTTTTTAACTAAACCCCCTCATTTCAGCAGTTCATGCACTCAGGCTCATGGAGAACAGATTCCTATCACTTCCAAGAACACTGATTTTATTTCAGGCCACTGAGAAGTGCCTCTACATTCCAAAGAAAACCAGAAATACACATTTACCTGTTACTGCCCATTGTGCACAGTTTTCCTGCAGCTTTTCATAAATACAACTGCATGCATTAAATTTCCTTTAGCTACAGTCAGGATTACCTTTGCTTTTTGTATTCTGTATTCCAGAAAGGCAGGGGACATTTATTTTGTGACTATAGAATTGGTCTCCAGGTCTTTAGCCTAAGCAGCATGGTTTAGGTTTTCCTCCAAGAAAAAATTCTGGATTTACAGCAAGGAATTAGTTTAATTTGACTGGTCGAAATGCAATTCTGACTGTTTGCATGATGTCCAGCTAGGCAGCATTTCAGGGATTTTTTTTTAGAGATTTGGCCTTTATGGCACTGAAGAAATGTTCTAAATTCAGTTCTGTTTTATTTCTGTTCACAGCTATTTTTAATCTGGGGGATTCTGAACTGGCAATGCTGAAATCTCAGAACTTTATGGACTGTCATCAGGTCTTGTTCCATCAAAATTAATCATCCTTTCTTAAAACATGTCATGGGGTTCCTTTTGCAGTCCTAAATTATGAAGAATTCCAGGAATTTCATTTTTTAAAGAATCTGTTTATTTGCAGGCAACCCATGGAGGTAACTTTTTTTTGGTCTGCAATATTCACTTTATTGAAACATTGTAAGAATTTATTTTTCTTTCTGTTTTCTCCCGTGTTCACTTTTTAGATTCGAGATACGAAATCATCAGATCAGAAAACCACCCTGTTGCATTTCCTGGCAGAAATCTGTGAGGAGAATTACAAGGACATCTTAAAATTCCCGGATGAATTGCAGCACGTTGAGAGTGCAAGCAAAGGTAAGGCAAGAGCCAGAGCACGTCGAGGTAACAGTTGTGTGCTGTGCCATGAAATACTTGCACCCTTTCATTTGGGATTGTAGGATTATGTAACCTGTAGGAATTGGTCATCCATGTGGATTGGGACTTTCTGGTTTTTATTGAGCTGAGGGAAAAAACAGGAACAGAGCAACTCCCCTTGTTCTGTAGTAGGCTGTGAAAATAATTCAGTTTATTTCAGTGAGGTGCTTGAAAAGCTCCTGAGTTGTGGCAGCAGTGCAGTGATGGTGCTGAGTGTCCCTCCACAGGGACAGCAGCCTTCCCACACAGAATTCCTCCTTCCCACCCCTGACAGAATAACAAACATGCTCTGCAAAAATCCCACTTGAACTGTGCTGCCCAGGCAAGAATTAATAATTATTTTGGGTCAGGCCAGGCTGGGGGATGTGGTGGCTGAGTTCGTGTGACACAAGCTGTCACACACACGTGGCACTCTTGTTGCTGAGCGTTCTGCTGAGGCAAAAGTAGCTGGTGGGTGAAGATGACACAAATTTTTAATTTGCCCTTTTCATCAGAAGGTAAATGCCTGGGTGAGCACAAGAATGTGAAGGAAGACAGAGGTGAGAAGTACCTGGGTACACATTGCCACCAGCTTGTCCAGCTTCTCACCTGGAAATTCTTGTCTCCCTTTTTCCAGTGTCATCAGTCAGTGTCTCTCTGGAGTGCAGTAATTAGCTCTTAGGCAGATACTTCATTAATTAGGCCATCATTTGCTTTCAGTTTGTGTTCTTCTGTCTCACACTGTGCTGAGAGCAGAGCTCTTGTTTTCCTGAGGACCTGGAACAGTTCATCCATCAACCCAACTCTGCCATTGTTTCACCTCAGATTTCTTCACACTCTGTGTCTTCACACTTTTTTTTTTTGGTTGTTTCTCAGACTTTGCACACACCTTTCCATGGGTTTTTCCTGCATTTAACCTGTGTTTATTTTATTGCTGAAATGTGTCCCTGCCTCACTTTGCTGTGGACAAACTGGGACAGATCTGGGATGATTGGGGTGTCTGTGCAGGGCCAGGAGCTGGGCTCAGTCATCCTTGTGAGCCCTTTCCAGCTCAGGGTACTCTGATTCTATGGACTAACATATTAATTAAATCATTTATGCAAGTAGCAATTTGGCATCTTATCTAAATTCCAAAAGTGTTTTCTGCCACTTGATAATTCTTTTCTCAAGGTGACTTTTAATCTTTTTCTTCCTTTCTTTGTCAAGTCTTCTGGTTTACCAGGCACTTTTGATGATCTTTTATGAATTTTCTTGTGTGGCTGACACTTGACCTCGCAGCTTTGAGATTTTTATAGTTTGATTCAAAGCCTCTGATGTTCTTTAAGTTGACTTCAGGAATTAAACTGAGAGTCAGTAAAGTTTAGTTAAGCTGTAGCATCCTAAACAGAGAAAGCATATTAATGGGAGCAAAGCCTCTAATAAATCTGATGCTTAGAATATATATGAAAAAGATTTTTATTGCAGTGAAATTCGTTTCATTCTGTAAGATAAAAGCTGCATTTCCTATAAACAGCACTGGCTTCTAGCAGAGCATAAATTACTGCTCATTTTTAATGATCAAAACTTCTCTCTCAGCCCTTCTTTGCTTTCTGCAGCAAGGCAGGTTTTTGGCAGAATAAATGGGATTTGTTCAAGTTACATCAAGTGTTCCCCATGGCCCTTCTGGGGTTTGTTAATTGTCATGTTCATCTGCTCTGTCACACTTGGTGCTGCTTCTGTGCAAGGAGGAAATCTGCACTTCCTATTTATTGTTTGGTGTTTTATAAACCAGTGCTTCTGGAGATGGATAATTTGGTTTCTTTTTCCTGTGGGAAGCCTCTTTTGGATATGAGGATGCTAACATCAGTTATTCCTAAAACAGGAAGAAATCTAGCAGCAAATATTATCTCTGCATGAATTTGAAATAAGGAAATATGAGCTGGGCAGGTGAGTGTCATTCCTTGAGGTGGATGCTGGAACTTTTTAGGCAGAGGCAGCCTTGTAGTTTGAGCTGTGCATAACCTTCCAAAAGCTGCACTTGGCATCTGCAGCTTCTCCTCAATCTTGGCTTCAGATTCTCAGTTCCATGTAAAAAGAAAAGAAAAAAAAATCCTGTTCAGCTTAATTTTTAAAGAATAAAGAACCAGCATCTGAACAACCGCTGGTTTTTTTGTTGTTTTTTTTTTTAACAGAGAGCAGATAAAGCATAAAACTGGATTTTAATATGAAAAGGTCAATGGGATTAGATGAACTGCCCATGCATGTACTAAAATCTTCAATAATCTGATATTAGGTATAATAAAATAGTTGATCTTTTTAAAGATGGAAGATCAACCTGCAGGTTTATGAAAAGTAAAAAATAAATTAGGAAACAGTTTTATTCTGGAAAATACAGGCAAAGGTCAAAGGGATTAACTATCAAGGGATCATTGGAAAAGCATTTCTTCTTCCTGGAAGCAGATGTGAAAGGAAAACCAATCAGAACTCACAAGGCTGTGATGAAGTGCTTTGTTTGATGGCAGCGATTTCCCCCTTCTTCTTTCTTTTTTCCTTTTCTTTTCCTTTTTCTTCTCCCTTTTCTTTCTTTTTCCCTTTTCTTGTCCCTTAGAACCAAGCCCAGCCCTGTTGGCACATTCCTTCTCTTCTCATCCCACCTGCTGCTTTTCATGCTTTTTGCTCTTACCACTTTAGAACCTCAGCTTTTTATTAAATACCTGGAAAATTCCCCATCCCATTTTGGGCTTCAGTCACATTTCCAAACAAAAACGAGAGGTACCTCACAAGTCAGATATTTCTAGACAGTTAAAAGTATAGTTTGGAATCACTCAGAAAATAAATATATTTTAAAACTTAAGATTTTCCTGAGTGTCAAGCCTCCCAGAAATCATCAAAGTGAAATGAGTAACACACAAAATTAAGATGATTAAAATAAGTTAGCCATGTATTTTATAACAGCAACTTAATTTTAGATATTAAGAGCAACAGTTTTACCTCCCAGTTCATGATTTAAACCCGGTGCCTGTAAATAATAAAACATAAAAATAAACCAAAGGTGTGTCTTCATTTTTTGAATCACATTCTTGCTGGAGCTGTTACCTGCTTGGTCTGGGCAGTCTCAGCAAATTGAGATACATCGAATAGAAATATCTGTGTTTTTTAGTCTCTTTCAGTAAGAAAGGGTTTTTTTGAGCACTTAACACACTGAATTCTTTGCCTGATACAAAGGTGTGCCACTTCACAGTTCTTTTCAAGTGTTTTTGAAAGTAAAATCAAGTGAAAGGTGCCTTGTGGGGGTGAATTAGGTCTGTGCAATGGACTGAAAAATACCAATAACACCAGCCCAGCTCTGTCACTCATGTGGACATGGAAATTTATTTCATTAATTTGCAAGCATATGGTTCTGATGGTTGAGGCATCTCTCTAGAAAGGCCATTAGCAATCAGAAACACTGGGGAATGCAAATGTGTGTGTACTTTTTATTACAAATAATGTAATAAAGTATTAATTTAGAGATTTTATACAGGTACTTCACGGTGATTTAATGGCATCATTTTAGAATGGGGGAAATATTTTAAAACATCCTGTGCCACTGTCACTTTGAAGTAGAGCAATTTAAAGCATGCTCATAAGCAGCAGCCGTTTTTCTGTCAAACAAAACTTTTATAGTTCATTGCAGCAGAAAAAAAAAACAAAAAACCAACCAAATCTGTGTTTTAGCAGAGAGATCTGCAGCATTTCTACCTTGCCCAGTTGAAATTGCTGAAACAGATTTTTGCCCATTCTGGCCCAGGAGTGGTGGAAGGCACAAAGCTCCCAGGCACTTCTGGTGCTCCAGTTCCAAGCCTCAATTTCTCTGCGAGATCCTTTTGGAGCCTCACTGAGGTTCTGGATTGCCTTAAACTCTGCAAAAATTGCTCAGTGAATTCCCCCGGTCTGTGAAGGCTTTGAGGATTTTATTTTATTTTTTTTAGTTGCTGTCTGTGTGTAATAAATGCTGTACAGAACTGTGGTTGTTCTGTATTCTGGAGTTACATTTTGAAGTTATAATTTGGAATCTCTATTAAGAGCTTTCTGTATGCCTTGCATTTTAAGGCTCTGCTCCTCTCCCTCCAGTCTAAGTATCAAGGGCAAAATGAAAGAAGAGTCCAAATGACTCTCATGGGCTGTTGCTTATTAAAGAAATTAAAGCATTTAAGAATTTCTGGCTGTAGTTAAACCAATTCAGAAGTGAGGATTGCTTTAAATGTCTTAAGTTGTGTAATCCATTTAGAATTCCTTAATACAAGCCCCTAGAGAGAGGCAAAAGCTCCAGGATGGCACTTTGTTCTTTCTTCTGCCTGCCTGTGGTCGAATTTGCACTTGGATGGCTGGGAGGGAGTTGTGCCAGTGGGTCAGGCAGTCAGGAAGGGCAGGTTTGAGTTGGATGAAGTTCCCAAGATGTCTGTGAGTTTTCCCATCAGCAGCAGGTTGGTGTGGCAGCAGCTTTGCTCCTTCTCTGTGCATTCCTGGCTCGGTGTTTGTCTCCTCTGCCTCGTTTGCAATTTGTCTGACACCCCTGCTTCAGCCTGCTCATTTAATACAAACTCATTGTGTCATTAGAAGCTCTTTGAAAAAAATAAACTCAACTTTTAAGATCTTGAAAGACATTTGTAATTCAGTCAACATCAAAGTGGGGCGAGTTTGTGGAGGTGCAAGCCCCCATTGCCAGGAGAGCTGTGCTGATTGCAGAGCTGCTCTCACCCATCACTCCAGTGCTCCTGCCTGCTTTTCTGAAACTGGGACATCAGTTTTCTGCAAGAGCTGTAGTTGTGATGTGAGGAGTCAGTTCAGTGAAGAGCTGATACTGTGCCCTTGTCTGCTGTCAGGGGGGTGAACGTGGGAAGGGCTGGTCCTAAGGGACAGCAGGAGGGTGGCACTCACTGAGACTGAGACTGAATCTCTCATTAAACTCAAACCAGGAGTTATTGCTGGGTTCTCACAAAGGGCTTTTCCATTGGCTCACCCCTGTAAATCTGTTCACCTGGAAAGGTGGAGCACACCTCTGGCCCTGCCTTCTTCCCCCTTCCCCTGCAGAGCTGAGAGCAGAGGCTCTGCTGGGCAAGGAAACCTCAGCATGCAAATCCACGAGTGAAATCTGTTAAAAATTCTGCTTTGCAGCCCCCTCAGATCAAATTCCAGTACACAGTAATAGGATATAAACAAAACATTGCCATTTGGGCAGAGCTGCTCTTAGTCCTAAACTTGAAAGAGTGCAGGGAAGATTCTGTCGGGGTCAAAGTCTGTTCTGCACCATGGATTGGATGTTAAGCACCAGGACTGTGAGTCAGAAATCTTTGCCAGTTTTTGGAAAAGGAGGATGGTGGCTCCTCTGGCTGGGTAAGGTGGGAGCTCTTCTTCCCCTTCGACCCTGAGGTGTTTCAGCATTTATTGTCTTAGCAAATAGAAACTTGCTTGGTACCAATTGAGTAATCAATGCTTGTAATTCCTGCAGATTATGTCCTTGCTCACCCATTTCCCTCCGAACTGCCTCTCATTCCTTTGTGAAAGACTTTCCATCTGCCCTCAGGCAATAAGAAATAAATAGTCATTAGTATGCTTACAATGTAGTTATGGTGCAAATGCTGTCTAGACTTAAAAATCCATGAGTTCATTTGCTTCCTACAGACTTGTTTTTGCTCACTGAAGTAATTTATGTTGTTGGCTTTCACTTAGAGCTTTTTCCAGCTGTGGACATGGCCATCCCAGTTCTGCATCATGATCAGAGACCAGTTAAATTTCTTATGCAAGAGGCACTGCACCTAATCAAAATGTATCATTTCACCTCTTGTTGTGGGGAGGACTCTGCTGCAATCTTATTTTAGAAGGGATTAGTCTGACCTCTGGTGCTATTGCTGTATTAATGTAAATACAAAAAGCTTAGCTTGGCTCCAGGGACCAGCTAGTGCTCACCATCAATGTGAGATTAAGTGCTTGGAGCATTTTCTGGGACTGAACTGCTCTAGCAGACACTCACTAAGCCTTCCTTAGCGTGCAGGCTGCAACTGCTGTCTAAAATAAGTGGATAGGATTGGTTTCAGGGTTGTTTTCAGAGGAGCAATTAGTAGAAGAGAAATAATAAGGTGAAGGAAATTATTGCTTTCCATGGCAGAATAATATTGTGCCATCTCTTCAGTGGTGGTGATTTTCTACCGTAATTAAATAATAATATACAAAATAATCTTTTAATCAGTCCAAGATTTAAGGATGCATGATGGAGTAGCATTCAGTATCTGTGCAGAGACAACATGGATGGATGGATGGAGCTTGTGTTGCTCTGTCACTGACAGGACAAATCTGGACAATGCAATATTCCACATCACCTTGTTCATGTTAGCTCTGTGTGTCACAGTGCTCCTGCACTGAGGTGAAACACAATTTGAACTTCTGTTGGCTTTTTTTCTTTGTCTCATAAATCCTTTTATCCCCAGGGTTTGAGGTGCACTATTCAAGGTGCTGCATTTCCACCTTGCAGGTGCTCTCTGCCAGCCTTTCCTTAGGGCTGACCTAGGGGCCACATCGACACAATTGGGCACAGATTAAGAAATTTTGCTGCCTTTTTTTTCCTCTCTTTGGCCTTGAGGACTGGTCCATATATAGGTTTGGGGGTTTCTGTGGGTTTTTACACTGAGTTTTGGGGAGAACACTGCAGTTCCTCCAGCTGTTTCTCCCACCACCTGCAGGTGTTCACAGAGACTTCAAAAATTCCATCCCTGCCTCTTATTTTTGACATCTTTCTCAACCTGTTGCCCAAGAATCCACATCATTTCTTTCTGAATTCACTGATGCTTTGTCTTCACCATTCCCTGTGTCAGCCAATTTTCCTGACTCTCCAATTCTCCAACTTTGTGATTTCCTGAGTGCTGCCTTTCCACTGGGGATGGGAATCTCCCCTGTCCTGTGAGGTTGGTTCTTCACTGCTGCTGATTTGTATTAATTTGGAAATTAGCAAACCTTTTATCTTTGCTAATACAAGGAAATAAATGGCCAGGCATCCTTTGGGTTGCTTCCCCTTTTTTTTTTTTTGGGGATCTGCCCATCCTTGAGTGTCTGGGGTTACACACAGGGATTTTTTTCTGGTGGCTGCTGATGCTGGGCTTTGTTTTTTTTATGCTTTCCTCATTTTCTGTATTTGCTGCATGTTCCTGCCTTGACATCAGTTATTTCTGTATTGCATTTAGTTGGTTTTTCTCTCTTCCTGCAACATGAAGTAAATAATATTGGAGTGGCTGCTCCACAGAGGCTTTGTCATTGAGTCCTTGCCACTGAAGGCCAAATTCTGCCTTCCAAGTCCATTTTTGAGAGCAGTTTTGTGAAATTCCTAATTTTCCTGTGGAGTGCTGGGCAGTTGGAAGGTGAGCAAGCCTCTGTCTTGGAGGAGTGCAGGGGAGAGGCTGCTCAGGGTTTGAAATGGTTTCAAGGAAATGGCTTTGTGCTGCAAGTAGAATTTATGCTTTCATAAATTAAAACCTTGCAAGAGTTTGAAGAAATTTACATTGAATTTCCCTGAAAGTAGAAGGTATTCATGTTGATTCCTTTGCACATTACTGAAGTAGTAAATCTCTAATAAAAGGGTTTATGGGAGGAAATGCAGATATTTTATTATAGTCTATATATATATATGTTCCCTGCTCTGTCATCTTTTGAAATTTGTCTTGCAGAACAACAACTTCATAAATTATCTGAACAGAAACTTGTACATTTGCCTGGGCCAGGGGGAAGAAAAAGTGAACAGAATGGCATATTCTACATTTCTTTTGTTAATTGAGTGTGAATACAGAAGTTAATTATGGGAAGCACAGCTTTAGGGTGCAGCCTTCTTGCTTGGATAGAATTCCTGCTTTCAAAGGTTCCTTCCTGGGGCTTTCTGAGCTCAGTTTTATTGAAGGATGTTACTGGAAACTCTTTCCATCCATCTTCACCACAAAGGTTAACAGTTATTAAAGGTTAACAGTTATTTCTCATTGCTTGCTGAATTTCTTTGCACCTTTGAATACCACACAAAAATCAACTTTTGCTACCTGGTGCATTTAAATATTTCCAGAAAGCTGCAAGCAGTTCAACTTTGTTATGTTGCCTGTTTATGTACCAGCTGCTGTTCTGAGTGACCATTTGAATCTTGCTCATTTATTTTTCAGTTTCCAGCATTTTCCTTCAATGCTGTTTGTCCTCTCTCCAACTCCAGAACAGCCCATAAAAATATTACAGTAATTCAAGTTCTTCAGTTCAAGCAAAAATGAGTGCTTTGATCAAAATATCAAATGATTAAACTAATGCAACCATAACCTAAAAGCTTTGATAATTTGTGCTATTCAGAATGTTTTAGTGGTTGATTTCAAGGTTAACTCTCAAATGTGAATTTAAAAGCTACAAGGATTCTGTGGTCAATATAGTTTCCCACCCCAGTTGAACTAAGCTTAAAAACCTTCCACTATAATTCTAGGATTACATGATTAGTAGTTCCTTTGGTACCCAGTATAAAATGGATAAAATTGAAAATAAAATCAAGATAATGGCTGCAATAAAGGCAGCTCTATTGGTGCCTTATGGATTTGAACACGCTCGTGAAATCAGTGTTATGGCTGATGTGAGTCGTTACTTAGAAAGAAGAGAAAATTGACTTTCTTCTGGGAACAGCTTCCTTATTTACCAGATTTTTATTTCCTGTGTGCTGCATTTCAGGCCATCATGACTCAATTTCCTTCTACTCTGTGTAGTCACAGCACCATTTTTTTTTTTTTTTGCTTTTTAATAGCGAGAAATAAATGGTTCTTTAGAAAATTCTTAGTGGAACTTTTGGGCAAACTGTTTTCCAGCAAAAGAGAATAAAAACTCCTTAATAAAAAAAAAAGGAGTAATTTACTTTTCTTGGCTGCACTGGGGGAGAGGGGTCTTGGGAGTCTCTGGTTTTTTCTAAAAGAACTGTGCAAGGGGAGACAAAGAGAGGCTCGGGGTTTGTGATAAAAACGAGCCTGACAAATGCACCTCATGCCCAAAAAAAAAAGCCAATATTTGGAGTTGAGATTGTTTTAATTCTCCAGCTGGAGCAGGAGTTGCTCTGCAGAGCCTCTGTCATTTTTCACCCAGGCCTGGGGTTTCTTTGTGATGTGGGATTGCTTCACCTCCACAACGGTGCTGTCATTTTTTGGCTCCCAGGATGTGTCAATTAAGGGCAGTTTAATCCAAATTATCATCTCAGTGCTGGTCATTAGAATAGTTTGTCACACAGCAAGCAGCAATTCTTTACAGTCCCCTCTTTTATTTTTTTTTTTTTTTTTAATTAGTGTGCTGTACTCTGAGCCTTTTACTTCCTTTTGATTATCAGCAGCTTTTATTCTCCAGACCTGCCTTTGCTATTAACACATCTCTGGGCCCCAGAAATCAGTGTAATTTCAATACAAGGAAAATATTTAATTTTTTTTCCCCCCATGTCTATTCTTTAAATCATTCCTGTAACAGAAATGTGCCTTAATAAGATCATTCATTTAACCAAGTACATGCATTAAGAAGATGAAATCTCTTTGAACTCTAGTTAGTTTTTAATCTTTGAATTAGATTTAAAAGAATATTAGAAATAATAATATTAGAAATATTGGAAATTTTACCATAAATTTAAATAGAAATGGAATAATTTGAACTAATGGCAGAATTAAGTGGTGACATTTCAATGTTAAATATGATGATCTGCTATATTACAGTAGATATTTTCACTTTATTTTTATGAAGGGAAAGATTTTTATGAGCAGTAATTCAGAAAAATGTGAGTCTACTTAATGGAATCATTCTCTTTCAGGCTATTTATACCCACATTGTTTTTTCCCCCTTCTCATACCCTTTCTGGAATCTGGAAGCTTTATCAACTTTTTTTTTTTTTTTTTTTTTTTTTTTTTTTTTTTTTTTTCAGCCCAGACTCTGAAGAGCAACCTTGACTCCATGAACCAGCAGATCCAACGCCTGGAGAGGGACATTGAGAATTTCCCTAAAAGCCAGGATGAGCACGATAAGTTTGTGGAGAAGATGAGCATATCCTTTAGGCACTGCTGCTCTGAGCATTCTCATCCTCTGCTTCACTATTTGCACCACTTCAAAATAGGTTTTCAGTCTCTTTTCCTGCATTTTTTCTAGAGCAGAGAAAAAAAAAAACCATCCCTGGATGTGGGGAATGTGAGCAAACACAGGACTGAAAGCAGCAAAAATCAGATTTTCAAGGGGGCACCCAGACAGATTTCCTGAAGTAGTTACAGTGAGCAGCCATAAACTCAGTATGGGTTTTTTTCTTTTTTTTTTTTTTTTTCTACCTGAAAGAATTATTGAATCAATTTTAGAGAAATACCAGCAGTAAGGTTGATATATTTATTATTTAGCTCCAGGTGGTGTTTTTTGAAGGGCAGAGTATTCATTCTGTTAATGGTTTTAAGTTACATTTTTAACATCATTTTTGAGGGATATTTACATTTGTTTTCACTCCAAGGTGTTATTTCTGTAATTTCTGTAGAGAATAGAGACTGTGGATTCTTTAAGCACTACCAAGTAAAATCTGTGGGGGACTGTAATAACATTTCTGTCTAGCTTGGTTTTGTATATGCAGCTTTTATTTTGTTCTAAAGTTTAAAGTAACAAGTCTACTGGAGATATAGGAAGCTCAAAAAAAATGCAGCAAAGACTGAGGAAAAAGCACTTTAAAAAAAAAAAATCACAGGTTTTTATTGTGCTCTGTGTGGCAATGTGGGAGCTTTTGAAGTCCAAGGCTTTTTGTGCATCTCCAGAAGCTCAGGTAGTTCCTGGGATTTCTCTCCTGTCTTGCTGCAACAGAAGTCATGAGAGAAATCCTGAATTTTGGGGTTTTTCAGAGGAAGGAAGGAGGGGATTGATGCTCAGCTCCATTTCCAGCTGCTGATCACATGTGGTGGGTGGGTGTAAGGAAGATTTCTCCCCACTGCTGGCTGTGCAAAGTCACTTCTCTGCAGGATTTTCCATCTGAATGGAGCCAGTGACAGAATCTCACAAGCAGGTATTTCACAGCTCTGCGTGGATTTATTTGAAGTTCCTGACAAGGCTGCTGGAAAGGAGCTTTAGGGAGACAACTCCTGACTAAGTGGAAAATTGTTTCTTGTTCTTTACATTTTCCCTTTCACCTTGGCCCACGTGTGAGGTTGAGACTTGCTGCTAATCTCTGTTATCACTCCTGCTCTTAAACAAAGCTCATTCATATTTCCCTGAGATTCATTGCCATCAGGAAAATTTCCAATATTGCCTTGTGATTGTCCTGTGCCTTGGCACCCCGTGCAGAGGCTGAATTCTGTCACCTCGGCCCTGCTTTTATTCATAAATCCAAGCACTTTATGAAATCACCTTTATTTTCACCACTGCTTTTTTTTGTTGTTGACAGCTTTGCTTTCCAGGGTACAGAACTGATTGTTCAGTTGTATTTTCATTTTGCTTTCTATGTGTTTACTTATAGACATGATGAGCATCACTCAGGTGATTTTGGTAAAGAAAAAAAGCCAAGTGGATCATATTTAACATTTTTCTCTCTGCAGCTTATCACCTGAATTTCTTCGAGAAGAAAAAGCTTGTCTGACAATGCAAAAAGAGTAAAAAAGTTGGTTTCTGCTTATCACCGAAGATTTTAAGGTTTTCTACACTCCCATACTTTTATTTATTAGATTGAAGAATAATTTTGGAGGGTGTAAAAATGACACCCTTGTCTGCAGTATGTATTTCTTTGATTTCCTCAGCTGCCTGAAGATTTGTTGGTGATGGCACATCCTGAGATGAGAAAGTTACAGAATTTCAGGCTGAACATTCTCTGAGTGTTTCAGAAAATTTGAGATGTCTCAGTAGAGTTTTAGGATGCAGCAATTATAATATTCAAGGCATAGTTTCTCCTTGCTGTCATAAACAAAGCTATTTACCAGTAGCTGTGGATGAGACTTTGTTGAGAGGATGGGAGAGTGATGCTGCTTGGAGTATCAGATTCATGTAGGAGGCCAGTGACAAGAAAAATACCATTCATAATATGAATTTGTAATAATGAAATTATTATTCAAAATACAGAAGAAAATTCTGACAAACAATTTAAGTCATTTTAGTTTTTCTAACTTTTTTTTTTTTTTTTTAAACAAATAAGCTTTTGGTACTGTGAGTGACAAAAAGATGAATACAAAGTCTGCTTCATTTTCATTTTGGATTTTTTTTCTTCATCAGTTTCTAAGCAAGATAATTTTTCACTTCACTTAATCCGTCTTTTATTTAGCACAAACAGTTCTTCATCTCAGTGCAGTGTGGCTGAAGAAAATCAAGGGATTCAAATACTCCTTCTGTGAGTTTCCTGCTATATTAAATAACTTATGTGTGATTCCTGCAACAACTTTTTTTCATGATCTGCTCCGTGGCTGGCCTTGCATTTTACCTGAAGATCAATTTGTAAATAATTCAGCTTTAAATGGGAGAGGTTTCTTTTCTAATTAGCCCTGCTGCATGCAGCACTGGGGAGCCTCATTCAAGAGTTGAGAAAAGCAATTACTGACTATGGCAGAGCTGGCTTTCACCCCTCCTTTTATTTCACTGTTTGTGCCTCTAATTGAAGATCTTTCCTAAAGTGCAGAACTCTGAATTTTATATTTGCTTGCTGTAGGTGTGTACAGTGATTTCAGTGGTGTTAAAACATGAGTGTCTAGTTGGAGGTTGAGAATTCAGATTAATGGACTTCAAATGTAAATGTTATTAACAAAGATTAAAAACAACTGAATTGGAAAGCGATTTCAGAGGGAACAAATGGCAAGTTGGACAGAGTTAACATCAATATTGATTTAGAACTATAAATACATGAATAATAAATGCCACTTTTCTCCCTTCCAACATACACACACGCTAAAGTTTATTCCTCTAGAAAATAATTTATTCCTGTAGAAATAAAAGAGGAGCTTTGAACATTGTTCCAAGGGGCAGCAGGACAAATATTTGGTTACTGGGTTCATGCTTTTTGTTATCCTGATCCCTGGACAAGAATAACTTGAGCTGTGCATCATTTCTAAAATACCTGGCATGGATTTATTTCTCCTACATGAGCTGGTGTATCTTTAAGTGGAGACCTTGTTTGGCTTTTCTGCTTTTCAGCTGGATCATTTACCCTAATAAGAGACATTAACATGCCTAAACTTATTGAAATCTTTTGCCTAGCAGAGCAATCAATGCTGCCACGTGGGTTTTCTAACTGATTGCATACATGTGAAGAATTAAAAGCTTATTTTTAAAGAATTGCAAAATTAAGGGAATGATGAATGAAAGAGCAAAAATTACTGCAGATAAAAAAAAAATTCAAAGCGCTGTGCATTCATCTTATCATTAAATGGAACAGCAGCAATTTGTGAACTAATTTTAATTTCCAGTAAGGAACACCATTCATTAGAAGAGAATCCTTTTCATGGGATAAAAAAGCTGCCTTCCTGAAAGGCATGTATCCTCACTTGATGTGCATTTATGCTCCCTGTTCTCTCCAATAACAATTCAGCCTCCCAGCTCCATGTGAGGGGTTCATTTCCTCTCTTGCTGCATTCCACTTGTGCAGAAATGATCTGGGGACAAGGCTGGGACTTGGATGCAGTGGGAATGTTCAGGATTTCGTGTGCATTAATGAAACATCAGCTGATAATTCTCTATGGGAGCTGCACTGCAGAGTCTGTCAGAGCAGCTCCTGGGGAAGGAGCCAAGGTTCCCAAAG